ACAGACAGACTTCAATGGATAATTAGAACTGCAGAAAAAACAATTGCTACCAACCTGCCTTCCATTGAGGACCTGTATACTGCATTTATTTATTTATTTATTTATTTATTTATTTATTTATTTATTTATTTATTATTTAAATTTGTATACCGCCCTTCTCCCGAAGGACTCAGGGCGGTGAACAGCCAAAATTAAAATACATGCAATATAAAATTTAAAATAATTTAAAAGCAGAATTAAATCGAATTGGCTTCCCAAAAATTAAAACCCATTACCCTTACCATTACCCTTAAAATAACCCGTTAAAATTTTAAGCCAGCCCAGCTTGCTGAAATAGGAAGGTCTTCAAAGCTCGACGGAAGGTCCGGAGGTCTGGGATTAGTCGTATTCCTGGGGGTAGCTCGTTCCAGAGGATGGGTGCCCCCACAGAGAAGGCTCTCCCCCTGGGGGTCGTCAGTCAACATTGCTTGACTGACGGCACCCTAAGGAGGCCCTCTCTGTGGGACCAAATTGGCAGGTGGGAGGTTATCGGTGGCAGAAGGTGGTCTCGTAAATAACTGGGCCCTAAGCCATGGAGCGCTTTAAAGGTGAGAACCAATACCTTGAAGCGCACCTGGAAGACCACCGGAAGCCAGTGCAGCTCACGCAGGCAAGGTGTCACATGGGAGGCCATGTCGCCCCCATAATTACCCGCGCGGCCGCATTCTGGACCAGCTGGAGCTTCCAAGTGCTCCTCAAGGGGAGCCCCATGTAGAGAGCATTGCAGTAGTCCAGGCGAGAGGTGACGAGGGCATGAGTGACTGTGCATAGGGAGTCCCGATCCAGAAAGGGACGCAACTGGCGTATCAGGCGAACCTGATAGAAAGCCCCCCTGGCCACGGCCGTCATATGCTCTTCTAAAGACAGCCGTGCATCCAGGAGGACACCCAAGTTGCGAGCTCTCTCCGTGGGGGCCAATGACTCGCCCCCAATAGCCAGAGATGGCACCAGCTGGCTATATCGGGACGCCGGCATCCACAGCCATTCGGTCTTGGAAGGGTTAAGTCGAAGCCTGTTTCTCCTCATCCAGACCCGCACGGCCTCCAGGCACTGGGACATCACTTCAAGGGCATCGTTGGGGTGGTCTGGGGTGGAGATGTACAGCTGAGTATCATCAGCATACAGATGGCATCGCACCTCAAATCCACGGATGATCTCGCCCAGCGGCTTCACATAAATGTTGAACAGGAGAGGCGAGAGGACCGACCCTTGCGGCACCCCACAAATAAATTATTTCAGCTTCTACCCTCAAAATGAGCATTGCACACCAGAACAACTAAACACAAGGACAGTTTTTTTCCCGAATGCTATCACTCTGCTAAACAACCTATTCTATTCTATTCTATTCTATTCTATTCTATTCTATTCTATTCTATTCTATTCCCTTTCAAATGGTTTGCATGGACCTACCATTTGGGATCTCCTCAAACTATAACACACAACTACTTTCAGTTCTATTGATTGTAACTGGAGTCAGTGTAACTTGAGTTGTCAATGCTTTGTAATCCGCATTGGTACATTATTTTATAGCCAATTAATATGATGCTTCCTTTCATTTCAGTATATTTATAATAAGAAAGCCCATAATTTAATTACATGTAAGAAACGATATAAATGTACGTACAATCTCCCATATACATGCATACCTGTCTGCTTTCATCTTGATCTATTTTTAATGGCATTCAAAACCCTGCTTTAATGTTCTGGTTTAATGCCTTCTTGTAGAACAGTTACTTCCCCCCCCTCCCTTTCAGATTTGGTGTTGATAGCTTATTCATCTGCATAACACATCTATTTCTGATTGCCATAATGTGCTGTAAAAGCATCTCAGAAGACACATAAGATTTAAAATGAGACACAGTAACCTTAATTTCAGGTATCTGATAGGACGTGGGGAGATTACTAGTCATTTGTTTCTAGAGAAACATAGCCTCATTAACCACCAGTGAAAATACTTGACATGTGTCCAACATTTGCTCGGATTTGAGAATAATTCTGGGAGTTTATAGTTATTTAGAGGGGATCTGACTCATAAAGTCTGCTTGGATTTTAAATTGTTACAAATTGTTCAGTAGCAATATAATAGGAGTAATTAGAGCTACAGTAGCTGGTCTGCAAAAGTTTAGGTCACCACTCAGTGGCAGCAAAGAGAAGGTTCAGTATTTCTTTGCTCTCATCTAGTGGCTGTCCAGAATATCCAGATATAATAGATTTTGTGGCAATGGTGTCAACAAATAAGTTAACCAAGGTTAGTGGCATAGTTGATCCAGAGCCTTGGTGGCGCAGCAGACTAAAGCACTGTTAAGTAACACTAGCTGCCTGCAATTACTGCAAGTTCAAATCTCACCAGGCTCAAGGTTGACTCAGCCTTCCATCCTTTCGAGATAGGTAAAATGAGGACCTGGTTTGTGGGAGCAATAAGCTGACTTTGTATAAAAAAGAACACCGCTTGGGGGGCCCCTGAAAGTCCTACTAAGCAGGTATATACAAAAGTATGAAGGCTATTGCTTAACGCATTGTAAGCCACCCTGAGTCTCCGGAAAAGGGCGGCATATAAATCGAACCAATAAATAAATCAAACCAATAAATGTTGGAATGGCCTTGGGAGACAGAAGGAAGAGATGAACATTAGATAACTGTAATTTAAAATATATTTCAGTCCACAGAAGGAGAGAAGGCATAGGAAGCATTTCAGAAGAGGCCATCTCTAGTTTTCCAAAGAATAGAAGGAAAAGAGGGAAGGAATACTTTCAGACTTTCAAGAATTTTGTTAATATAACCTTACAACAGAAATAAAACTGGTACTCATTGTTGTGCTTCTTGTCTAGACTACGTTGAAGGCAGTGGTGAAATCCAATTTTTTTTACTACTGGTTCTGTGGGCGTGGTGTGGCTTGGTGGGCATGGCTTGGTGGGTGTGGCAGGGGAAGGATACTGCAAAATCTCCATTTCCACCCCACTCCTGGGGGAAGGAAATTACAAAATCTCCATTCCCACCCCACTCTGGGGCCAGCCAGAGGTGGTATTTGCCGGTTCTCCGAACTACTCGAAATTTCCACTACTGGTTCTCCAGAACCTTTCAGAACCTGCTGGATTTCACCCCTGCTTGAAGGGCTAATATCCATTCATCCAGTTCATCTCTCATCCAAAAATTCAGCTATTCTCTGAAAAGTACAGTATTGAAAGTAGGTCTGATAACTTTATTAGTCGCATTTTTAGAATTGAGTTGCACTAGGTTGAAGTAGCTCATTTTTTGCTATGGGATGGGAGGCCCCATGAAATCCTTTGGTTGATGGCAAGTGAAAGAGGGCCTCTGCTCTCTTTCTTTTCTATACACATAATTTTACCCGAAGTATTTCTATCACACATTCACCCAGCCTTCTCTTCATTCTGCACTGGAGGGAATATTGAAACTCAGGTTGTTCAAGAAGATAATAAGTTACTAATTTAACTAGACTGGGCTGATTTTATTTGAAATTCTATTTGTGCAACCTTTTCTTGTTTTCCTTATATTTTGCTTTTGCAACAAATTGGGTTGGGTTTTTTTTCTTTTTTACATTTTTAAAAACATTTTTAACGTTTTTTTTTCTATATTGGCTTCCTTGACTTAATAAATACATTTCTTATTAAAAACTTCCATACTTGCAAGATCACATCCTATCTCTTGTGCTTCAGGATTAGCCCCAAGTGTACTATGTTTTGCATTTTTCTGCTTTGGGTAGAAAGATCCAAAATACCTTACTTTCTGGTTTTCTAAAGCTGGGCTGCAGAGAGATGTTTTGTTAGAAAGCCAAATGCATAGGCCTCTTGCAGAGGTCAGAGGACATCAAAATGATATTGTGCCTGTTGGGATGTCATTGCCCAAATGGTGCAAGTATGCAACACTTCACTTGTGTAAAGATATCATAGCACATGCAATATTACTTGCCCCCATGAGCATTTATTGCTAAGCATCTACCCAACAGGACAGATTAGGAGATGGATCATTTCGACGGGTGGCAGTGTATCATATTGGGAAACTCTTGGAAGACAGGATCTGCCAAGTAAGTTTTTACATTGCCCCTCCCCACCCTCCCCCCCAGTTTGTAACAAAGGGTTCCCACCTCTGTTCCCATTCAGTGCACACTTGGCCAGACATACCATGAACACAGATAAAATACTGAACGTTTAATATAGCCTTTCCTTTGTTGCATTTCTTTTACAAACAACTTTTCCCAGCTGTGTAAAACGGAAACAGCCCTTTATCTATCAAATCCAAATAATCTCGGATGGCTAAAGTTGTTTCTCAGAGGAACTGTAATGGTTTTCTAACCCACAAGGCTTTGCTTCAGACAGATACTGTGACTGTTCTTTCACCCTATTATCTGCCTGGACTTTCAGCAAATGTTATTTGTTTGTCAAAACAGTACCGTCAAAGGGGCCCGTGTTCTCAATTAAAACCTTGACCCTCTTCTAACCTTCTCTGGGAAATGCTCATTAGTGAACTACTCTGCTGCAGGCTGCTGAAAATTTGGAGACAGCACTATAAACACGGAGATTCCAAAGCGCCTCATGTAAGACTAAGTAATTTCCCTCTGTGGGAGTCAGAAGAAGCTCACAAGTTTGATCCTGGGGTGAGTGCTTTACGAAGTTCAGCCCCAGAATTTCAGGGCTGTTCACCTGGGGAAAGGGGCTTACCCTCAGAAGGGTGAAAAAAAATGCTTATAAACAGATCAACAATAAAACAGCTCTTCCTCTTTCCCACTAGTTTATGGAAGACACGAAGGCTGACTAGGGCAAGAAAACAGGCTGTTTGGCTTTCTGGCTGACTCCCAGATTAAATGAATATAATGAACTGAACTGTTTCCTTGCACTCATCATCTTTGTATGTGCCTGGCTATTAGCAATTTACAAAGATGGGCCTCAGACACATTAATGTGCCTGCTATTTGACTCCTGCTATTCTACAAAGAAAAATACATACATGGTGGAACACTCCAGCAGAAGTTCATCTCCCAGGAATTCTTTTCAGTCCTTGACCGCAGAAGCAACAAGACTCCATGGTAACAAGAGACGATGCTCCATATATGCTACTTTCAGATAATGCTCCAGGTCAGAGATCTATTCAGCTGAATGAAGTTCCATTCAAACGGGGGGGATCTCTTTTCTTAATCTCTTTCCTAAACTCCTGATGCTGCTTCCCTCTTCATGCCTCTCTACCTGAGATATGGGATTATTTACAGTGGTGAAATTATTATTTTTTTTTACTACTGGTTCTGTGGGTGTGGCTTGGTGGGCATGGCTTGGTGGGCGTGGCAGGGGAAGGATACTGCAAAATTTCCATACCCACCCCACTCCAGGGGAAGGATACTACAAAATCCCCATTCCCTCCCCACTCCTGGGGGAAGGATACTGCAAAATCCCCATTCCCTCCCCACTCTGGGGCCAGCCAGAGATGGTATTTGCCGGTTGTCTGAACTACTCAAAATTTCCGCTACCAATTTTCCAGAACCTGTCAGAACCTGCTGGATTTCACCGCTGATTATTTACCTATACATTGACACTCTTAAATGCTCTACCATCTGCCAAAAACTTTTACAGAATCCAGCCCTGACTCAGCTATTTCCAAAAAGATATTCTAGTCCTATCTATCCTAACAATATGCAGCTGCTTTCTAAAGTTGAGGCATAAAAGGAACAGTGATAGGGCCGGCCTGATTAGAAAGCAAGATGAATGCAACTTTTTTTTACAATAAAATGTAGGCATGTTTTAACATGCTGCTTTTGGTGTGTTAATCTATAACTGTTGCATATAACTCACTGGGACCTGCAAGTTCTGGCTCTTCAAAGCAGTGTTTTTCAACCTTGGCAACTTTCAGATATGTGGACTTCAACTCCCAGAATTCCCCAACCAGCCATATCTGGAAAATTTAAATCTTAACTGTCTTCTAGCTCATATACAATTTGGAGAAGATGTTTATGTCCCAAGGCATTTTATGCCTATACACATCTACTGATGTCTGCTGGACTTTAATAAAGGTTTCTGATTTATTCATGTATTTGTCAGTTAGGTCTTCATTGTTTAAACATAAAGGCATAAAGGAAGACTTGGATTATTATAAAGTGTGGAATAGGTTTTATACATGGTTGGAAAACAGAAATCAATTTAAGAAATAAGAATATAAAGTGAAATTTGATATTAACATACTGGATATAAATGTAAATAATGATCCTGCTAACAAAACAGTTAATTATGAATATTTAAAAATAAAAGAAGGAGCAGGAAGATAAAAGCTAAGAGTAAAGACAAAAGTCGATGCAGAAAGTTGTAAAATTGTATATATCTGTTGCAGGGGTGAAATGTAAAATTTGTTACTACCGGTTCTGTGGGCGTGGCTTGGTGGTGGTGGTAATGTGACTGGGTGGGCGTGGCCAACTTTTTTATTTTTTAACTTTTCAAAGCATTTTTTCTAATGCTTTGAAAAGCGTCTGCCATCAGGCAACTCAGCTGGGATCATCAGAGAGGCTTTTTAAAAAATACCTCTCTGACGATCCCAGCTGAGTTGGCTGATTCGTCAGAGAGGCTTTTAAAAAAATGCCTCTCTGCCGATCAAGCAACTCAGCTGGGATCGTCAGAGACTTTTCAAAACATTTTTTTTACCACCTCTTCGGCCAAGAGTTGCAAAAAAAAAAAAAAAAAATGCTTTGAAAAGCCTCTGATGATTCCAGCTGAGCCACGCGATCATCAGAGGCTTTTTTTTTACTTTTAAAAGCATTTTTCGTTGGAAGAGGTTGTAGAAAAAATGCTTTTAAAAGTAAAAAAAAAAGCCTCTGATGATCGCGCGGCTCAGCTGGGCATGGGGCATGGGGTGCAGGGATTTTTGCTACCGGTTCTCTGAAAGCTATAGGAGCATTTCACCCCTGATCTGTTGTTAGTATTGTATTTTAACCTCTGATGTGCGTGTGTTTTTGTTTTTGTCTCTTGACTTCTTTTGCTATTGTGTGTTTGGTTTTAAAATGTAAAATACTCAATAAAAATTATTTTAAAAAAGAAAAAAAAAGGCATGTTCTTGTTTACGTGTTATATTGTGGTCCTAAATATCACCAGCAAAAAGAATTGATTAGGCATTCACATAATTTTTTTGTTCTGTCTTGGTTTCCAGAATACCATCTCTCCAAGTGTATTCAGTATTTGTTCTCCTGGCGTTTCCTTTTGATGAGCTGTTCCCCTGCCCCATCTTTTAGGTCTTCTGTTTGGTCCTGCCCTTTTCCCCCCTGCAGCATCAGAGGAAAAACTTAAGCCTCCAGGCTTGAATTACAACAAGCCTTTGCTTAGAAAACACACTATGAAATTTTATGGTTCCTAGTGCATCTACCCCATTTTTGATGATTTCTTTTTCAACACAACCTTGTACTGTTGTTTTTATGCCCATTTAATATTTTTGGTCTAATAAAATTTCATAATGCTAAAACAAAAATTAAGCAACTCTAGGGGGCACTCAGTTTCCTTATAATAATGTTATAATGCAATGGGCCAATTTGCTGTTTATCACATACCTCGTTTTGTTTCCTTTACAGTTGTGTAAACCTTAATGGCCCAAAGTGTTCCTGTGTTGACTATATGCTGAAAGAGATCCTTCTGGATCTATACCTTTTCCTTTTTGCTAATCTGTTTCTGATTTACGTAGAATGTGATTCAAAGCAGAACTCTGCACCTTGGGCTCCATTCCATAGCAGGCCACAGTTCAAATGTCATGTCTCAAGATTGAAACAGGGGCCTCTCTCTTTCTGTAAAACTATGAGGATCAGATTCAAACAGCTTCAGTCTTTGGTTAAGTTTTGAACTTAGTGCTGCCTTGATTCTATTCTTGTTGTTAATAAACAAACTGCATATTTTTTAGTGAGTGTCCCCATCCCATTTAACCCATAGTAAGGGTAACTGGACTCCACTTGTTGCTCAGAATTACTTTCCCACTTGTAAAATCACTGACTGTCCTACTTGGTTTCCAATAGTTTAGGTAAATTCAGCTTCTCTTTTATGTTTGCTTGGTTGCTGAGAAGGGGGTACTCTTAATGGTAGAAACAAATATGATATTGAAACCTCTTTGTTTTCATTGGGTTGCCAAGAAATATAAGAGATTGCCCTCAGCAGGCCTTGGGAGCTGTTTATACATTTTTTGTCTAAAATTTCATCCAATTTTGAATGGCTAAGAAAATGTATGTTCATCTCCTCCTTATCCAATACGTATACCTTTCCTGCAGGTTGTTCTGGTTGCATCCTATATAAACTCTATCCAAAGTGTTAGACAAGAAAGAAACTGTTGTAGCCTATAGATAAACACAGAAAAGTAGCTCACATACTAGTTTTGACCTTGAGTATTATATCCCCATTGACATATGGCTGCCAAGGGGAAATGTAGAAGGCAAAGAAGGATGTGCTCATACCACTTCAGAGCTGATAAAGGCATGGGCTTTGTGGAGCTCATCTAATTCATTTTCTCAGCAGACCTTATTGGGTCAGGAATAAAGTACAATCATATATCAACCCATTTTTCTCTCCTCCGCCCCATAATATGAAGCATTCTTTTAGCAGAATAATGAAGAAAACTGTGATGTCTAGACTAGAGCAACACAAAGAAACAGAACATTCCAATCAGGGAAAAATATTCCTATGCTACAGCGACTGTTAGTGGCGAATTTGGAGCTTGGGATGGAGCCAAAATTGTGATGGAATGTAGTTCAGATTCCAGGATGGAGGAGGAGTATTTTTTCCGTGTTTTTAAGACTGTAAAATCATCAGTAACAGCAGCATCATTTCTTCTCTTGGCAGGTTTATTCTCCCCCTCCCCCCACAAAAAAAAAGATAAAATGGTTGATTCCAGAGGAGCAAGAGACAACATGGTTCAGATAGCTTGTGTGAAAAAAAAAAAGAGTGAAGATGGTTCCTCCATAATAATTCCCAGAGTACATGTTTTATGGGGATGATAGCATGCTTTAGTTTGGCAAGACTCTGTCTTTAGGTGAGGAACAATAAAGAAATCTGCTTGTAACATTCACAAGGTTTCTTGATTTTTGGCAAAAAACTTTTTGACAAAAGTTGAGGAACTAAGCCCAGAGTAATAAAAGGAAAAGGTTGGTTTCTGACCCAAGGGCCCTCACAGTTTTAGCAGACCCAGGGAGATAAGTAATTTGTCAGATTCAGCTTGTTAAAAGGGGGAAAGAAAGGAATGAAAAAAAGCTGGTAATGAAACAAATATATAAAGTCACTCTACTCTATATATGCTTCTTTGCTTCTAATAGAAAACAATATATCTAGCTGAGAGTTGAACTGTGGAGTCCTTGGTGCTCTCTAAGCACCAAGCATCAAGCTCAGAGTGCACCAAGGATTCCTATTCTTTGCTTTCCTATGTCTAACAACAATGGATGGGGAGTATTAATAGATTATTGGGAGAGACCTAACCCCCTATGTCCTTGAAGCAAATATCCAGAAACCATTATGTAAACAAAAAGGACAGAAGCATTAAAATGGTAAGGGCAGCACCAGCTCCAGTGTTTCTCTTTATTGAGGTAAGCAGCACGTTTAATGCCAGCATACCATTTCATCAACTCAACAACGGCAGGATAGCATGTTAATGAGAGTTCCTGACTGTTGGAGATCAGCATTTTGTAGAGTTAACCTTTTAAAGAACTGCTTATGGCCAACAGCCAAAGAGAAGAGACTTAACCATGTGACCTTTTTGGGGGTGGGGGTGGGGAAAGAGTAAACTTGCCAAGTGAAGAAATGATGCAGCTGTTATGGATGATCTTACGATCTTGAAAACAAGGAAAAAATACTCCACATAGACATTCAGCAAATCTACATCCAAGAATTGAATAGAAAAGTGTAGTGTGGTTGTGTTATTGCATTGTGACTTTCAGAAAGATGTTTAAATGGAAGGATCAGCCCACTGAGAAAATTTTGGTGGGTGGGTGCAGGGTGATGATGAACTTTGGCTGGCTACGTTCTGTCCACAATGATTATTTTTGCATGTACATGTCAAGTTAACTGAAGAATTAAGAAATACGGTATGGTTTGCTGAAATTGTGGAGACTCTTTGCATAACCATCTTGGCAGTTTGGGTCATCTGAAAGGGCAAATGGCCAAGGCCTGTTAACAGAGAACACACCAGGAACAAATATAAATGTCTTAGTGGCAGGTGCAGCTGGATTGCCTGTCA